CTGTCCGGGCCCCGCCCCGCCCCCTCGTATGGCCCCGCCCCTGCCCGGGCCCCGCCCCGCCTCCTCGCATGGCCCCGCCCCTCCTGGCCCCGCCCCGGTCCTGGCCCCGCCCCTTGCCTGTCCCGCCTCCTGCCCCAGCGCTGGCTCCGGACCCGGCGAACTCCGACCCGATCCCGCCCCGCGGACCCACCAATTGCGGCTGACTTTGAGCACCCGGCAGTAGTGGCCCGACTTAAAAAACAAACAAACAAAACCCCCTTTTCGCTCCCCCCCGCCGGGTGCCGCCCCCTGGGCGCAGGAGAAGGTCCTGGGTGCGCACCCCATATATTGGCCGCTGGAAGAAACTCGCCATTAATTTGCTTGAACACACACAGTGTGAGGCGAGGGGAAACCCGGGTTACAGTGTGGGTCGGGTGTCAGCACCGTGCCTGGTGCAAAGCCCCGTAGTCGAGTTAACGTTTGTTTTGCACTTTCCAAGGTCCTGTTTGGGCTCGGCCTTTGGCCTGGGCTGCCAGAGAAAGGCTCGTTCCCTGCGCCCGGGGCGCGCGGCTGAGCAGCTCGGGGCCTCTCGTCACGGGAGCGCCTCCACGGCCCTTGTCACCCTAAATAAACTTTTTTCTGGTACGGCTAACAGTTACTGTTCTTTTGTGCCTTTGTCTCAATACTCAGGACAACCCTATTGGTTTTCTCCCCATAATACAGATAAGGGACCAGGATCCAGAAATGTGTGTGGTTGAAGGTGACAGGATGAATGAATAAATGCTTCTCGGTGTAGTTAAATTAAAAAGATCCAAAGAGGGCCTCCCCGGTGGCGCAAGGGGTGAAGATACAACCTATGACGCTATCCGCAGCCACTGCAGCACCAGTTTTGATCCCCGGCCAGGGAGCTACCCACATGGCGCAGCAGACTCTCCTGTCTGGCCCGCTGCTCCCCTCAGCAGTGTGTTTCAGTAGACCAGCCTGTTCTGCTCCCTACTCTATCTCTGGTAAATTCTCTCACCTCCCCACACCTCTGGCCCTCAAATTCTATGCAAAAATAAGTAAATAAAATCTTATTTTAAAAAGAGAAATAAAATAATCTCTTTCAATATAAGATGGGGAAATGCTACATTAAGTATAAAGCAGAAGAGGATGGTTTTCTAAAACAGGATACTGATGCTTAGAGGGGGGTAGTAGGAAGAATGTTTGGTCAGTCTTTACCCTGTATTCATTAAATAGCCAACCTCCCCCAAATCTCAACATCTAATCTCAAATGGAACATGGCAAAAGCAGGGACACCTCTCTTCCCAGCTCCCAGAAAACATCTTAGGAGTTAAGGAGATTTGAAAATGGGGTTTCTGCCAGTTCCTTCTTAAATTAATAAATGAATAAATAAAAGAAACCTTTATAAAAAGATTTGTGGCATTCCATTTAGGGACAAATAAAAATATAGCAGATTAAAGTTTTATCACCTGCTCACTATTTGGAACTGATGAGAATGGAACAGGAAGAAGCTGGGAGGTGGCCACTGAAAGTCATTACCAGGAAAGGGAGGGAGAGGCAATGTCCCAGGTGTCAGTTGGCTTTCCTGGTGTTCCATCCCCCCAAGGCAGGGCCTCTCCTTCATGCCCAACCCCTCATCAGCCTCTGAGGGCCAGGGGGAGGAGAGGCCCCTTTGAAGATTGCTACCAAAGAGCTTCCTCCCAAACCACAAAATTAAGCATGTGCATTTTCCATCAGTGCCCAGCTAGTCTCCCAGTTGGTGGCCTGGCAGGAAGAGGCCAGTGTGGGCCACAAGGTGACCTTGCAGGTAGCACAGAGGTATGTGGCTCCCAAGGAAACTGCCAAAGGCAGGGAAGAGTCACAGACCAACATCCCATCTTTGCTGTGGTGAGCATGGGGCCTTGGAACAAACATACCCAGGCCTTAGTTTTCTGTCTATGAAAAGGGGAAGGAGTTAGATCACGGCAGCAGGAACATCCCAAACCCCAACTCCCTGCTTCTATTTTATAGAAACTTGGCCTCAAAATGTAGGCGATTTGCCCGAGGATACAACCCTTCAGCAATATATCAGGAAAGAAAATAAGAACAAAGGAACTTCCTAGATTCTCAAAGGGACTCTTTCACCACATGTTTCCTTGTGGCCAGGTGGCAGGCACCTGGCCAGCCTGCCCCCTGGTACTCTATGACCCAAATATGCAACTGGCATTCCCCAAGGGCCCAGGATAAAGCAATGTCACCTTGCTTAAAAGAAAAAGCCCTCCTTAGTGTCCTCCTCAGTGACCTGGGGATTAAGTCTCAGCACTATCACCACCATGACCTGAGTTCGATCCCCAGCCAGGGAGCTGACCCACATATGGTGCAGTAGTTCTCTTCTGTCTCGCCCACTGCTCCCCTCAGCAGTGTATTTCAGTAGATCCACCTGTTCTGCTCCCCACTCTTGTCTCTGGTGAATCCTCTCACCTCTCTCCTACACCCCAGTTTTTCTACTAAAAAAACAAAACAAAACCCAGTAGTGGTGCTTCACAAAGCAACACTCAGAAGGGTCCAATTTTTTTTTTGGGGGGTACACAGAGGGGTCTCCCTAAACATCCCTTCAGAGAGGCGTCTCAAGTCTCTCCAGTGGGTGTGAGCAGAAGGCCCATGGGGGCCACAAAATACAAGGCAACTGAGACTCCCCAAAATGCTGAAAACTCAACAAGTTAAAAGAAGAACACCCCACCTAGTTTTGATATCATGAGTCCCTCAGGCTGGAAAGCATAGCTTCTGACATCATTTTTATTTAGGTACCACCAGAGGCACGGGCCTGAGAGTAAACATGTAAGCCTTGACTCCCTGGAGCTGTTTCTGCATGAGAGTATCATTCTGAATCATTGAGAAACAACAAACACATGTAGGTCCCGGAGAATCTGAGATCTCTGGTGTCTAGTAGGTTAAGTGTATTAAGTGCATTTTTGATTTACGATATTTTAAATTTAGTATGGGTTTATCAGGACATATCCCATCCTAAGTCAAGGAGCAATTATAGGCGCTGTGCCTAGTAGCTACCATATTGGACAACACAGTTCTAGAACATCCCATTCTAGAATATTCCATCATGGCAGAAAGTTTTGTTGGTCAGCTATGGTCTGGCTTAAAAGTTGCCTCTTTCAAGAAGAGTTTTTCCATGACCTGACCATATCTTTCTAAAATTGATCCCCTCAAGAAAAAAAAAAAATTAATCAAAAGAAAAAGAAGCAAATTTAAGCCCCAAAATAAAAAGAAACAAAACAAAATTAATAGATGCCCTCAGATATGTCCTCTCCTATACCATATCTCCTCCCTGGCATTGAACAAACTCAGAAACTATCCGATGCATTTACCCTGTTGATCTGTACATTTCCCGCCTCCCTGCTAGACCATGGGACTTACTTTCTGCTGCAGTAATTGTGCTAAATGTATCTCATTATCCCTCCTGTTAGAGACCACCCAGCAGCCCCACCTTAAACATCCATTTCAACACAACCTCTGATAGTCATCAATTTGGGTGAATTGGTTTAAGAAGCTGCTTTTCCCTAATTCCTGCCAAAACTGCCACATTGAAAGAAAGCTGTTAGGAAGGGAGAGGATGTTTGTGATCACTGGAGGGAGGACACTGTGGGGACTGCAGATATGGCCTTAAAACTGGGCTCCGCCACTTCCTTGCTGTGTGATCTTGGGAAAGGAACTTCACCTCTCTGAGCTGTGGTTTTCTCATCTATCAGCGGAGATCCACCATTATCCTGTGGTGCCTTGTGCCATTATTATAAGGAATAAATGTATGTAGAAGGGGGATGGAAAAGTGCTGAGTGACTTCGAGTGCTGGGTGAAGTGGGTGCTAGTGGGTGAAGGACAGGCCCAGGAAAGGAGCTGGGGAGGAGTCTGCTACTATTAGGCACCTACTGTGTACCACGCCTACTTTACAAGAACATTATCCCATTTCATCCCTTTACTGTTTTACAGATGAGGGCTTGAGGCAGGGAGAGGTGAGTGCCATGGCCAAAGTCACACAGCAGGGGGTGGCAGAGCCTGGATTGAACCCAACTCTGCCTGACTCCAAAGACTCTCTGTACCAGAGTCTGAAGCCTTCTTGTACATTAACCCTTCTAGAAACTCAAAGGATGAGTTTGATGGTAGTCAGTATACAGAATACTTGGCTGTTCTTTCGACCCTCTCTCCTACTTCTGCTCAGAAGGGTTAAGATTAAGCTCACCTGGAACATGTGTCTACAGAAGAACCCACCTTCCAGTCCAGGTTTTCCTCACTTTGGCAGCCCAAGAGGTGCTTAAAAGAATAGCCAGTAAGATTCAGCCCCCAGGGAGGAAGATCAGTCAGGAAGGCTGGGAGCAGAGTTCTCATCGGCTGGCAAAGTTCTGGTAGGTGGCTCCCTCCCTCTCTCTGCTCTCCTGTATTCCCCAAGTTTTCTACCTTTCCCTGTAACACAGGAGTACATGTGGGAAAGGTGATAACAAACAAAGCCAACATCTGCATCCCTGGGACAGTCCCACCAGTAGGTATTTGCTCCCAATAATGAAATTGATAGAAGTGGTTACAGTGTGTTTCTCCTTTTTTAGGCATTCCTGGGGCAGGGGTGCCTTTCAATTGTTAATTACCTATTGAATAAATGCATAAAAGAATGAGTGAATGAATGAATAAAGGAATGTCCCTTCAGAAGGCAAGAAAAGTATCCTCTAGGCTCCCACCATCCCTACGGCTCTTGCCAGACTTAGCTCATTTGGCTTAAATTATCACTAGTTACATGCAGGGTCATCTCCCCCAAGTAGACAGTGATCTCCTGGAAAGGTGGGTTTTTGGCAAGGGACCCTGTAGATGCAGTAGATGCTCAATAATTGATTCTGAAAGCGGGGGAGAAGGGTATGTGTTCTGCTTTTCACATGGTTACCTTCAAAGTGTTGGCATAAGCTGAAGGCTTGACGGCATGGGGAAGGGTGCAGACCCCACCCAAACCCTGTGCCTCCCCATTACTACAAAGGATGTGTTACCTTATAGAGGGCATGGGCGTCTCAGACTCTCCTGGGGCTGGAGTGACCTCTATGGACAGGGCACCCAGGCTGGCCCGGCTACTCTTCCGGGAAGATACTCGAAAAGAGCCTGTGCTAGGGTCCTCATCAGAGGAGTTCTCTTCAAAGGATCCCAGGATGAAGTTGGTCATCAGCTGCCTCTTGATGTGTGCCTGCTTCTCATCTTCTTTGGAGAGGGATTTGGCTCGTTGGCCTTGGGGTCTGGCTGGGGAGGCCAGGCCATTGGTGTCTGGAAACTCCAGGCCTTCTGTCCCTGTGCCATTGGAGTGGCATGCTGGGGAGGCGTCATCAGGGGAAAGGGAGTTTCGTGGGGGCTTCTGGCGTGGGGGTGGCCGGGAGGGTCTTTGCCGACGGGCATCCTTAGGATCCTTGTGGGAGGTTAGTTCAGCCTGGTCAGGAGTCTTTGACAGAGACCTGTTGTCCTCATTTTTCTGCAGCGGCTCCCCTGAGTTTTCTGAGACGACAGAGGGCTCCTGGCTTGGGATAAAGTTCACTTCCGGTTTACTCTTGGCAACTGGTGTGGAGTCTGTCATTTTCCCCCAGATTTTTAACCAGGAAATGGTCAGGCAGCAGAAAATCAGACAAGACAGAAAAAGCAGGATCATTCAAAAAATCTGTAAGGAGGAGAAGAGTGACATTTTAGAGTCTATGTGATAGAGTGATTTTTGTCTTGAAGGAGATACTGAGGTGAGGGGCGGTCGGGGCTATGTGTATTCAGCTAAGAGAGCTGGGGGGTGAGCACTGGACAGAGTAGAGAAGGGATTCTCCTCCTGGTCCTGCCCATGACATGCTCTGTGGTCTTGTGCATTTTCCTTAACTTTTCTGAATCTAAATTTCTCACCTCTAATTTAGGTATACTAACAGATGCTCAGGAGAAATCATAAACATGCATGTGAGAGAGAAGTGAAATTATGTATTTAAAGAACTCTGGCCTGGCATCATCATTTAAAATATCCAAAAAATGGGGTGTCCCTGGTGGCTTAGGGGTTAAGTCTCAGAGCTATCACCATGACAACCTCAGTTCAATCCCCAGCTCTCTTAGCTGAATACACACAATCCTGACCGCCCCTCACCTCAGTATTTCCTTCAAGACAAAAATCATGTGGGAGCTGACCCACAGGGCGTGGCCGACCTCTCCTGTCTAGCATGCTGCTACCCTCAGCAGTGTATTTCAGTGGCTCTGCCTGTTCTGCTGCCCACTCTATCTGTCTCTGGTGAATCTTCTCACCCCCCCCCCACACACACACCTCTGGCCTGCACCCCCGTTCTTCCACACAAAGTTAAATAAATAAAATCTTAAAAAGAAAACCCAAAATATTCAAAAAATGGCAATAATCCAAAAGTCCATTAACTGATGAATGGGTCAACAAAATGTAGTACATCTGTACAATGGAATATTATTCAGCCATAAAAAGGGACCAAAGTACTGATCCATGCTACCACATGGAGGAATCTTGAATACATGATGCTGAGTGAAAAAAGTCAAACAAAAGATCACATACCATATGAGGCCACACCATGGATTCCATGAAATATCCACAATGGGCAAATTCATTGAAATAGAATGGTTGCCTTGGGCTATGGGATGTGGGTGATGGCTAAAGGATACAGAATTTCTTTTGGGGGGGTGATGAAAACATGTTCATGATCCTGTAATGCTGTGACTATACTAAAAACCATTTAATTGTAAACTTTACATGAATGAATTCCATGGAATGTGAATTATATCTTTAAAAATCTGCCATGTATAAAGACTAATCTCAGGGCCTCCCTGGTGGTACAGGGATTAAAGATGGCATTATCAAGCTATCGCCAGCCACTGCAGCACGAGTTCGATCCCCGGCCGGCCAGGGAGCTGACCCACACGGCACAGCAGACCTTTCCTGTCTTGCCCGCTGCTCCCCTCAGCAGTGTATTTCAGTAGATCCTCCTGTTCTGCTCCCCACTCTCTCTGGTGAATCCTCTCACACATACACCCCCACACCTCTGGCCTACCTAGACCCCAGTTCTTGTATAAACAAATAAATCTTTAAAAAAAAAAAGACTAATCTCTCACCAAATTTATATGAATAAAGGATCTGTTGCTTCTGTTATGATCTTCATCATTATCACCAGCATCATTGTATTATAGAATTATTATCATGATCTATTATCATAACCCTCATTGTGGACTATGACAGGAGAAGGGGTGCCTTAGGTTACTTTCTCCACAGAGCTGGCACAGCCGACGACGGGCATACCGACACCTAAGCTTAACAAGACCAAAGAAAGTATTTTGATCCAGGGTCTACAGCAGTGGCTACTAGAGTAAGAGTATAACCATGGACAAAATTCTTTTTTTTTAAGATTTATTTATTTATACAAGAACCGGGGTACAGGCCAGATGTGTGGAAGGGTGAGAGGATTCACCAGAGACAGAGCGGGGAACAGAACAGGCAGACTGACTAAAATACACTGCTGAGGGGAGCAACAGGCGAGACAGGAGAGGTCTGCTGCACCGTGTAGGTTGTGCCAGGGCTGGCAGGGATCTAACGGGCACAGCAGAGGCTGCAGACAGCTTCACAGCACTGCACTCAACCTCCTGTGCCACCAAGGAGGCCCCCAAAATTCTTTTTTTGGATAAGTAAGTCCAGATTGATTTCTAACCCATGCCTCTTCCCTATTAATGAATAATTGTTATTTAAAGAAAATATTATTATAAAGCAAACAAACAAGAATACAATAGTGTATATGAAAATTTCTGAACGAAATTTGCATAAATATATTCTAGAAACATTGAAGAGGCAGGGCCACAAAGCCAAAGCATGTTAATTTAGTATCTTAAAGGTATTTTTGTTTAAAATTTCAACACAATGCTCTTATGGGAAGTTGGAAAGTCCTCAAGATTTCCCAGAACTACAGGATCCAAGTACTTCTTGCACAGTTTGGGCAACAGAATTTGCTGGAATGTTATCAAGAGTATTTTCTAGGTAATACACAGTGTCAGGAAGATTTTTTTCCTTTTAATGTCATCGAGTTTATTTTTAAAGGAAAGCAGTCAGTCAGGGGTGGTTCAATGTCAATCAATTAACCAAACCACATTAATAAAGAGGAAAAAGCCATATGATTATCTCAACAGATACAAAAAAGCCATTTGATAAAAATCCAATATCCTTTCATGATTAAAAAGAAAATTCAGAAAACTAGGAATTGAAAGTAACTTTAACACAAATCATTGTTATGAAATTTATGAAAAATCTACAGGGGCTTCCCTGGTGGCCTAGGGGTTAAGTCTCAGTGCTATCACCACCATGACCTGAGTTCGATCCCTGGCCAGGGAGCTGACCCACATAATGGCACAGCAGACCTCTCTGTCTCGCCTGCTGCTCCCCTCAGCAGTGTATTTCAGTAGATCTGCCTGTTCTACTCCCCACTCTGTCTCTGGTGAATCCTCTCAACCCCCCAAACCTCAGGCCTACACCCCAGATCTTCTACACACACACATATACACACAATCTACAGCTCACATATATTTAATCGTGAAAAACTGAATGCTTTTCCCCTAAGATCAGGAACAAGACAAAAATGCCCGCTTTCATCACTGCTATTTAACACTGAAAGTTCTAGCCAGGGCAATTAGGTAAGAAAAAGAAATAAAAGGCATCCAAACTGGAAAAGAAGAGGTAAAATCATCCCTATCTGCAGATGACATGATTCTATATATACAAAATTCAAATAATAAACAAAAAGAAGCCCACTAGAAGTAATAGACAAATTAAGCAAAATTGTAGGGTACTCAACCAATTTGCAAAAGCAGTTTTGTTTCTATACACCAGCAATACACAATCTGAAGAAGCAGTTAGGGAAACAATTGCATCCAAAAGCATAAAGGAATTAATCTAGGAATAAATTTAACCAAGGAAGGTGAAAGACCTGTACACTCAATACAAAACATTGCTGAAATAAATTAAAGAAGACCTAAATGAACAGAAAGGCCTTCCATATTCATGAATAGGAAGACTGACTATTGCTAAGAAGGTCATACTACCCAAAGTGATTCACAGATCCATATGGAACTGTAAGGGATCCTAAAAAAGCCAAAATTTTTTAAAAAGAAAAAGAAAAACAAAGACATACCCTCCAGTTTCAAAACTTACTTGAAACTGCAGCAATCAAGACAGTGTGATACTAACATATATACATAAAGATATAACAATATACATACACCCAAAGAACAGAATTTGCAGAAAGGAAGAAAATACCTGCAAGGCACATATCTGATAAAGGCCTAGTATTCTACATATATAAAGAACACTTACAACTCAACAACAAAAAGACAAACAACTGGATTTTAAAATGACACAGGTCTGGCATAGATATTTCTCCAAATAAAATACACAAATGGCTAATAGTTTATGATAAAATACTCGACATCCTTAGTCACTATGAAAATGCAAATCAAAATGACAAAATGCCACCTCACACTCAGTCGGAAGACTATAATCAGAGAGAGAGGGAAGAAGGGAGAAAGAAGAAAAGTAGAGAGAGAGGGGGGCAGAGAAGGGGAAGCAGAAAAGGACGGAAAAGAAGGGTTGAAGTAGTGATCAGAGGGAAGGGAAAGAAGGAGAAAAGGGCAGGAGGGAGGGAAGGAGAGTAGGAGGGAGGGTGAGTATATCTCAAAGGAACCCCAAAAAGAGATGAACACATGTTCATAGCAGCACCTCAACTTTCTAATGCTTAAGCCTTGTTCTTGATGTTTGGGGTTCAAGAATTCTTGGGGGGGGGGGCTGTTCCTGGCGCTGTGGGATGTTGAGCAGCATCCCTGACCTCCCCCACTGATGGCAGCAGTACACGCCCCAGCCCCACCCTCAGTTGGGACAAGCCATCATCTCTCCAACGTTGCCAAATGTCTCTGGGAGACAAAACTGCCCTGGAGTGGGAACCACTGGTCTTAATTCTTATATCTATTTCTCCTGCTCTTCCTGCTCCTGCCTGCTTCTAGATGGTGAAGTGGGAGTTTTGGGGGACAGGGTCTTTTTCTTACTCTTCTCTTGCACAGAAAATCCTCAAGAAACATTTTTTAAAATAGCAAGAAAGGTTAGAGTCTTGACACTGCTGGCTCATATATGGCTTCAGGACAAATTTTGAAATTAGTAATTGGCAGACAGCAATGCTAAAAATGTTGCAAAGGCAACCCCGGCTTCCACAGAGATGCCAACAGGTCACAGAAAATGGCCTATTCACTGTTCCCCCCGGGATTCAGAGACCCTGGAGACATACACCAAGTGCCATTCATTTCTGGATCCACGTGTCCAACTTGGTGTCTGCAACATGTAGGCATTCAAATGTGTGCATCAAATGAGTGAAGAATCCATGCACATGCCTTGAGCACCCACTGACAGCTTGAGCCAAAGTGGAATTTTGAGTTCAGGCCTCATTTATGAATCTGCAGTCAGCAAGGCGAGGGGAACAAGCAGTGTATCCACGGCCGTTCTGAAGTAGGCCCAGCAGAGCGCCTTGCATGAATGTGGCAGTTTTAGGCTAGTCTTTTTTTTTTTTTTTAAATATTTATTCATTCATGCATACAAGACTGGGGTACAGGCCAAAGGTACGGAGGGTGAGAGGATTCACCAGA